TCATGTTTGGACTCATTTTAAAGGATTTTTCACGACGATTACAAATATGTCAAAATTGACGTTGACATTTTTAACCGGAAGTTGACCATAACTTCATTAATATTGAAGATAAATATGTCGTGTTTGTACTCGTTTTAAAGGTTTTTTAATGGAGATTACAAATATGTCAAAATTGAGGTTGACATTTTAAACCTGAAGTTAGTTATCATGTAATAGAAGTTAATCTAGTGTTAGTCACTTTTCCGTATTTTCTTTTTATTTTTAACGTGTTTTTTGGGTCATTTCATATTGATTTAAAAAGAATCGTCGATTTTTAAACCACATGATGATTTTGACGTTTTCAACATTAACATAGGTTGTAACTCAAAAAGTAAGATAGAAAGAAAAAAATTTTGTTATTAAAAAATATTGTAATGTGTTCCCAAAAATTCCTAACTTAAGAGGTTATAATCTGAAAATTCTCTATTATAACATTTCCAACATTAATATGTTCAAAATGTGTCAGTTGTAAACCTTAAGACGTCAATCGTGAAGCTTCCTGCAATACAATATATTATTTAGTGAGCAAGTTCAGGTTCAAAAAGAAAAATAGTAAGGTTCGACAAAAATTCTAAACAAAAAAAATTAACACGTTTTATGAATAACGAAAATAAAATTGTTTTTCTAAATTTACTTTATCAACAATGCCTATTGACGAGAGGTAACTTTTAAATAAAATAGAAAACTGCGATAATCGAGTGAAACATCGATCTGAGAGAGAACACGTTTATTCCTTTGAGAGAGGGAGAGAGAGCAGGATAAAAACTCGTTATATCCGTTCTTAGAAATAACAAATGGCTGACGCCTTAAATCGAAATCAAACTCGTTGGAAAAAATAGTGTTAAATAAAAGAAATTTTATACAAGACAAACTGAAAAATCTTTACCCACAAGTAAGTATTGATAAAATTATAAGGAAACTCGTGTTATCTTATGTGTTATGTTAAACAAGAAAAATAAATTATCATCAAACTCACTGCGAAAAAGAAAGGATCAGGATAATGGATTGTTTCTTGGTTTCGGAGCACGAACTAGTTTTCTGGATTGGTTACAGGATTCCTCCGTAGTTTCCGGATTATACGGGATTGTCTACAGGATTCTTCTGATGGAAAATTGGACTGCTGTTCTTCGGATGATCTCGAAGAAGTTTCAGGAGTTTTCGGAATATGTTGTAGGTGATTCTTTTTTTTTATATATCGTTGATTAAGTTGGCTTTATAAAATTATTTTAATTTTAAAGGTTATCTTTTAATATTAGTTTAAATTTTTTCTGTCTGACGACGTAGACTCGACGCTGGTCAGACGACAACTCTCTCACTCCTTGTTCGCGATCTCTTTATATACCCCCGCACTCCAATTGTTTTTTCCTCGTTTCTGATTGGTTCTTAGGTTCGCGCCTTTTTCAAAATTCAAAATTCTCGCATCGAAACTAGCGTCATCTCTCGGATTTTTTCGGAACTAACCTTTAAAATTAAATTCTTTTTTCGTTGATTTCTCCCTTATTTCTTTATTAATCGTATTAAAACTTCGTATTCAACGTTGTTTTTTCTTGTTTTCAGACGTACATTGGAGTACACGCCAAATTTCATCAATAAGCAAAGTTAGAAAAATTCAATTTTAAATCAAGGATTTCCTCCTCAAAATAACGTTAAAACATCGAAGGATGGATGAAAAATGTGCTTTAGGAGCTGAACTATATTAATTGATACTTTTGGAAGCAAACTAAACGGTTTTAGNGTTATGGATTATATATCTTGGGTTCATTATGAACAATTTTTGTTAGTGACGTTTCTTTCTATCGATTTTGGTTCTTGAGTTACAATCTATGTTTATAACCAAAATTGCCCATTTTGACGTTTTGATGTTTCTTGCTACATACATTAAGAACTGTCCTCGTTATGCTTTACCTGATTATGGATTATGTATATTAAGAAATCTTTAGCAGAAAGAAAAGAATTATCTAATTTTGGCAACACTTTAATAACTTGTAATGTTAAAGTTTTTATTTTTATTTTTCTTGTAATACTTTTTGGATAAAATGTTTTATCAATACTCCCTAGTTTCCTTGGACTCAGTGTTGTTAAATACCTGGGGGGTATTTATTTTCAAGGGAAAATTCCCTAGATATACAGGGTGAGTCAGAAAGAATGGGAAATCCGAATACCGGAGACACCAAAATATGGCGATATACACAGGGTGTTGAAAGTTAAATTTTTATTTCGAAATTTCTTGATAATTTTGAAAGTTTTTGTACTATTAACATAAAATTTGGTAGTTAGATGTTTTCGAGCATGACAAATACGAATTTGATATTTGTTTTGTGATTACTCGTAGAGGGCGCTAGATACACACTGTATGTTTGAGATATCAAGTCATGACTATTTTGTCAGTTGAGGTATGGTGAATTAGAACCAGAAATCTGAAGGAGTTTTCAATTCTGCACAAAAAAGGTACTCTTGCTTANACTAACCTTCAAAATTAAATTCTTTTTCCGTTGATTTCTCCCTTATTCCTTTATTAATCGTAATAAAACTTCGTATTCAACGTTGTCTTTTCTTGTTTTTAGACATACATTGGAGTACACGCCAAATTTCAACAGTGAGTAAAGTTAGAAAAATTCAAATTTAAATCTTCCTCAAAATAACGTTAAAACCTCAAACGATGGATGAAAAATGTGCTTTAGGAGCTGAACTATATTAATTGATACTTTTGGAAGCAAACTAAACGGTTTTAGGTAAGATTTCCACCAACAAAAAATCTCTGTCAAAATTTCAAGGTTATGTTGTCTCGGTGAACTAAACGATGGTTAATTTTATCACAGTATTGATTAAATTTAGTATTTCCCAAAATTTTTAATTAATTCATTACAAAAACATATTATTTTTACACTAATTATTATTAAAAAAGATTAAATTTAATTTGATTTTGTAATTCTCGCATCGAAACTAGCGTCATCTCTCGGATTTTTTCGGAACTAACCTTCAAAATTAAATTCTTTTTCCGTTGATTTCTCCCTTATTCCTTTATTAATCGTAATAAAACTTCGTATTCAACATTGTCTTTTCTTGTTTTCAGACATACATTGGAGTACATGCCAAATTTCATCAATGAGCAAAGTTAGAAAAATTCAATTTTAAATTAACGATTTCTTCTTCAAAATAACGTTATAACATCAAAGGATGGATGAAAAATGTGCTTTAGGAGCTGAACTATATTAATTGATACTTTTGGAAGCAAACTAAACGGTTTTAGATAAGATTTCCACCAATAAAAATCTGTCAAAATTTCAAGGTTATGTTCTCTCGGTGAGTATTTCCCAAAATTTTTAATTAATAACTACAAAATTAAATTCTTTTTCCGTTGATTTCTCCCTTATTCTTTTATTAATCGTATTAAAACTTCGTATTCAACGTTGTCTTTTCTTGGTTTCAGACGTACATTGGAGTACACGCCAAATTTCATCAATGAGTAAAGTTAGAAAAATTCAATTTTAAATCAACGATTTCTTCAAAATAACGTTAAAACATCAAAGGATGGATGAAAAATGTGCTTTAGGAGCTGAATTATATTAATTGACACTTTTGGAAGCAAACTAAACGGATTTAGATAAGATTTCCACCAATAAAGAATCTGTCAAAATTTCAAGGTTATGTTCTCTCGGTGAGTATTTCCCAAAATTTTTAATTAATTCATTACAAAAGCATTATTTTTACACTAATTATTATTAAAAAAGATTAAATTTAATTTGATTTTGTAATTNAGTTTAAGCGCCTGCTGCATTCTGTAACAAAGAAAATTGTCAGGTTTACCTCTTAACAAGATAGCCACGTCGTCTGCGTAACCAACTGTGAAGAGATATTTATTATTTAACTCACGAATGAGATCATCAACTATTAAGCACCAGAGAAGCGGTGAGAGTAATCCTTAACCACAGCTCTCTGTACTGTGTGTCCTTTTACCTTAGTCTGAACAACTCTGCTTGCTAGCATTGTTTTAATCCAGCCCGCGATGACCGATGGCACTCTTATGCAACGATTCTTCTGGATCCTTGGCAAAACTGCCATCAGACTTTTTTAGAATGTCATGACTGTGCTTTTGGCCGCGAGATAGTATTTTGTTTAGGCGTGAGGCCTCAGCAACGCTCTCCACCTCTTCACAAAAACCTCTCCAGGCTTGTCGCACTAAATGTTTGAATTCTGACTGGTGTGTTTTGAACAGAGGTATGGTGAATTAGCACCAGAAATCTGAAGGAGTTTTCAATTCTGCACAAAAAAGGTACTCTTGCTTACATTGTCTAAGTCTACTGGTTTCCAAGTTATCTGCTTTTAATTGTTTCAAAGTAATTTTAATCTCAGCATAGAGCTGTGTGCGATTTGTGCCTTTGTCTTAACTGTCTAACAAATTTATACACATTCCTGGTGTTATTAGCTTTAAAGACCATTCTTTACGTAATACTCTTCGAAAATATTTAACGACTTCTTTAATGCTTGAAAAACAACTTTGAAAGTCATGAATTGACTATAAGTCTAATATTAATGACTAAATTCAGTTTTTGTGCTTCATTAATTCTTGTTGTTTGATTCTTTTCTAGTCATATTATTGTACTTCCATCAAATCCAAGATTCCAAGATCCATGAGATTGTTGATTTCCAATTGGAAATTAAGTAATTATTATTCTTCTTCTTTTATTCAGGTTGTAACCTGTTTTTTACCCATCATTCATGGTGTTTCATTAGAGCTTGAAATCCAACTTGGAAGTATTCATTAATTTTTTTTATTTTTCTCCTAGCTAATCTCATGACATCTCCGAATCCACAAAATTCTCTTATAATTTTGTTCCTAACTCTATCTCTTCTTGTCTTTTCCACTATTGTTCATAAAGACTCATCTCAGTTGGTTCGCATCGCAGCCATATATCTTGGCCATGAGGTTCGTGTATCGAGAGATAATAATCAAAGGCAGCCTACAGGAAACTTAGAGACATCTTCATGAGCGATATTCCTGTATATTTGAAAAGAAATTGCGTGCTTCCTCCTTTGGTTATGACATACGGTTCCGAAACTTTTACTTTAACCTTGGCCATTACCAGTGGTCTGAAAGTAACGCAAAGAAAGATGGAGAGGTCGATGCTGGGTGTAACCACATACGAAATGAAGACCTACGAAGAACTGGCGTAAATGATGCGTTCAACATTGTGGCAAAGCTCAGGTGGAACTGGGCGGATCATCGTCGCAGGAATGAAGAATGAGATTGAAAAATCTGCTCCAGCGGAGAGTTGTGCAAAAAATCATAGAACACTCAATTTTTGAGATATCAATTTAAGATTCAGAACATGCTTAAACAACATGATGGAGTATGTTATGGTGCCGAGAACGGCTGTCTAGATCGTTTGGTCACTTTACTATGACACGTTAACTTTTCGAAATTTGGAAGCACCATAACTTCATTTTTTTAAATGGCACCCCTCATATTTTATTACTTAGTCGTCTTCGGCGTCTTATTTTACATCTTTTATATTCCATATGTCCTATGCCTAACATTAATAGTTTGAGAAATAATTACGGTTTTTTGAAAAATGCTCACATATCATATCGATATTAACCTAGTGTGCCATGGAAAACAAATGTTTAATGACTTACTGATAAACGTCAAAGTCTAATTTAGGTTGTTTGATGCTTGTGAGTCTAAAACTAGATAAAATGGGTATTAATAACGTAAATAATGTTTATACAAATGAAGAAATCCATCATTTATTTATTTATTTACTCTGTGTACTTATATATAAAATTTTTTTGAGGTTATGTTCTTTATTATTGATCAAATCAAAAATTTTTATTAACAATATTTGTTTAGAATTACTTCAGGAACAGTGTTTGTTAATAAAATTTTTTGCTAACTTGACATTTTAATTTCCCTCTGAATACTATGGTATCAAAATTAATTATCTCGATAATTATTGATTTTATCAAAAAATGTTTTAAATAAAATTTGTTTCAATTTCGATTTTGAATCAATTATCTTAATAAAAAANCTTCAAGGTTATGTTTTCTCGGTGAGTTTCCCAAAATTTTTAATTAATTCATTACAAAAGCATTTTTACACTAATTATTATTAAAAAAGATTAAATTTAATTTGATTTTGTTGGATCTGATTGAGATGGTTCTAATTTAGGTGGATCTGATGAAGGTTCCTTTGGTAGCTTCGGTATTTCTTGAGTATTCGGTAAAATTTGCGGACCTGGGGGTCCCGCCAAGCTTGTGGAATCTCCCGATGGGCTAGTTTCTTCCACTGCGGGTTGAGCCGGTTCTAAATTCATTGGTTTGCCGTAATATTGCAAAATAAACTCCAAAACGACGCTGTTGGACCACCCGAATCCAACTTGCGGGATGTATTCCCCCGTGCCGTATTTCCCAGCTTCCACACAATTATATTTTTCGTACATCACCCCCGATTCGTTATAACCTTGAAGATTAGCGTGAACCCATCGCGTCGCCATTTGTTTAGCCATAATTTGAGCTTCAGGTTGGCCGGTTCTTTCTAATCCTTGCACTAAGATGGCTTGAAGCGGGGGCCACGCGTTTGGAAAATCCCATTCTTGCCCGCTATACTCCAAAGAGGTGGGCATCCCCCCTTTGTAATCCAACAAACCCATTTTTGTGATATAATCAACAGTTCCTTTGGCGACTTTGGCAGTGTCCTCCTTTTTATAAGCTCCAGTCCACAACGGAGTGAAATTGCTTGCATAAAACTTTTTCCTATGAGCCCTTAACTTGATGTTGTAATCATACCAAGTTAAATCTTTCTGATCAAAAAGGACTTTATCGATGGCGAAGGCTATGTCATCAGCTTTTTCTTGCCAATAAACTTGTCGCTCGACATTTCCCAATTTCCCAAATAAATATGACATATCACTAAAGGCTTTGTGAATAAACGCGTTTAAATCGACTGGGATAATCAAAGTGGTTTGAGTGTGAGATAAACTCGCTTTGGAATCTCCTTCTTCGTCATAAATCCATCTTGAAGAAAACGTCCACCCGCTTTGAACGGCAGATTTAATGTTAATGTACACCTCTTCTTTCTCTTTTTCAGTTTCTAAATGAGACGTGATTTCGACGTCGTCATGAAACGATTCAGGACGAGGACCATGTCCTTCAATGGCGTAATGAGCCATGTTATAAGTGTGCAGATTTACTTCAATCGGAATCATTCGTTTGCTTCTCCAATGTTTTAATTCGCGCTTTAAAAATAAAATGTTACTTCTCAACCAGTCGACGTCGTTGGTGTATCTGATATAATTCGCTGCCATGCAAGTTAATAAAGGCGGTTGAGATCTTTGGGCGTAATAAATCCTTCCACCATGCGGAACGAAACCATAAATCTTTACGGTGTAAATTAAATTATCGATTAATCCCCTCGCAGTTTCGTACATCTCCGATATCAACAGACCGTTTATAATCCAATATGTGTCCCAATAATAAATTTCGCGAGATCTTCCCCCCGGAATGATGATCCCATTGCTAAGAGGGATCAAAGAGTATTGCTCGGGACTTAAATGCACCTCCTGTTTTAATTTTCGCCCGAGTTTCGGCCATAGCCAAACGAGATGTTTTGCGAAGTTGTTCATTTCGGGGTCTCGGATCGTATCCAAAAATTTCGGCTCAGGCATAAAATCCAACGGGAACCAATCTTCCAATTCGCTCTCTTGCTCGAAATAATCTCGCACGTAACTTTCTAGGACCTCCCTCGATGGGGAATCGTCGTATTGCGTCATTAAAAGATTAAAAGCCCCGACCGTTTCGAAAACGGTCCTTCTCATCTTCATATCGACGAACGTTTTTGAGTCATGGAAGATTCGCGAATTTTGGATGGTCGTTAAAAGTTTTCCGTAACAATAAATGGGGCTCCCGCACGCCGCGGATTTCCATGTGGTGCTTTTGGGGTTGTCGTGCAGAAATCGACATTGAATCTTAGTAAAATTCCTAATTTCATTCAAAAATTATAGCTTAATAATGATTTAAATTATTTTTTTACCTCAAAAATCCTGAAAACGCCCTTAGCATCTTGTCTTTAAAAAAATTAAAATGACATTCGTTGTGACGTTCGTAACGTATCAATTTCAAAAATTAATGCTCAATATTTTTTGCTAACTTGAAATTTTAAATTCCCTCTGAATAGTATGCTATCAAAATTAATTATCTCGATAATTATTGTTTTTATTAAAAAATATTTTAAATAAAATTTGTTTCAATTTTGATTTTGAATCAATTATCTTAATAAAAAATTTTTACATCTCTATTAATTAACCATCTAAGTATGATTATGTATAAAAACGGAAAAATTATTATTTTGAGGCTATCTCATTAATTATTGATTAATTCAAAAAGAATTGTTGACAAAATTTGTTTAGAATGGTTTCAGGAACAATTTATGTTAACACAATTTTTTTCCAACTTGTAATTTTAATTTCCCACTGAATAGTATGCTATAAAAATTAATATTTTTGAGGTTATATNAAAGATAATTTTAAATTCCATTACCGTACTATTCAGAGGGAAATTAAAAAGTTGATAATTTTAAGAAATTGTGCCAACAAAAGTTGTTCCTTTTCTAATTCTTAACAAGTTTTATTTGAAAAATATTTTGATATAAACAAAAATTAGAAAGATAATTTTAAATTCCATTACCGTATTATTCAGAGGGAAATTAAAAAGTTGATAATTTTAAGAAATTGTGCCAACAAAAGTTGTTCCTTTTCTAATTTTTAACAAGTTTTATTTAAAAAATATTTTGATATAAACAATAATTAGAAAGATAATTTTAAATTCTATTACCGTACTATTCAGAGGGAAATTAAAAAGTTGATAATTTTAAGTTGTATGCTGTTCTTTTAATCAAAATTTTCAAAATCGTATCGTTTTGTTACAAAAATTCGGTGCCCTGGTAATAATCATTTACATAATACTAAAACATTAAGTTAATAATTAAAAATAAAACAACATATCCCATCTTCGAAACTAACACACCATCACCACTTCTAACCAACGTACCATATGGAAAAATGAAGCTATGTATAATGGATAACACGGCAGCATTAGTAGTGGCGTATCCATATCGTTGAACTAATTTTCGATCTTCTTTCGCGATATATCGACTCGCACCGGGGTTTGTAACGTCGTAATTGAGCACTATCGATTTTGTTTTCCTGTAGCAAATAAACGTCGTTTGAAGAAACTTTGTGGCAAATTGTTCCGCTAAATATGTCGCTTCCGGATCGTTCGTGTCGCGTAATCCATCTATTATCATCAATTGGGAAGAAGGCCAAGCGTTGGGGAAATCCCATTCCTCGTTCGATTCAAACGTTGAGGCGGGAATTCCCCCGTCGAATTTATCAATCTCTTCTTTATGAAGATACTCCACGGTTTTAGCACCGTAATTAGCACGAACTTCGTTATTAGAACTTTTTTGATAAGCTCTCGTCCAAAGCGGAACTAAGTTGCTTGCATAAAAAAATGCTCTATGTTCGTTTTTATCAATGTCGTAGTCGTACCAAGTTCCATCAGTTTCGTTCCAAAGAACTTGTTGTATTGCTTCAAGTATATTTTCAGCGTTTTCCCTCCAATTTAGACTTTTGGTTTGTCGGCCAATTTTTGCGTAAAGTTTCGAAAGCTCGTCGAAACTTCCATAAATTAAAGCGTTTAAATCAACGGGAATGATCCTAGATAAGTTGGTGTAACGAGGGTGTCCTTTTCTACCATCTAAAGGGCCATCTTTTCGATTTTTGTTAAAAATCCATCTCGAAGAAAACAACCATCCGCTTTCATCGGCGCTTTTAAATTCGTTTCCATGCATTTCTCGATATTTCTTTACGGGTTCGGTCATCTCAAAATCACCTTTTAAGTTTTCTAATCGCAATCCTTTACTTCGCACTTTGTATTGGGCGAGTTTGTATTCTTCCCCTTGCTTTTTTATTGTAATAAAACGCTTTTGTTTCCAGTATTCCATCTCTTTGGCAACTGTGTCTATGTTATTTCGAACCCAATTCAAATCGTTGGTTTTGTTTAAATAAAGTGAAACCATTTTGGCAAAAACTGGCGGACCGGATCTGTCTAAATATTGTATTCTAGATCGGGAAGGAATGAAACCGTAATTTTTTATCAAATAAATCATGTTGTTTAATATTCCTTGAGCTGTTAGGAACATTTTCGAGACTAAAACTCCTTGCAGGATTAAATAACTATCTAGGTAGCGCCACTCCGTGGTGTCATTTGCTAATCCAATAAAGCCGTTGGGAAGATCAATCATGGAGCGCCGATCGGGTTCTTTTTTTACAACATCAGGAACGATCCATCCTAACGAAGGCCACATCGTTATTACAGTGATCGCAAAAGCTTGCACATTTTTATTAAAAATCATCGTAACAAACCTCGAGAATGTTGTAAAATCCATCGGAGTCCAATGTTCCAAATCGCCACCATAAGCAAAATTATTCTTAAAGAACTCACTAAATACATTAACAGCCTCCTCCATGTTTCTCCCATCGTAATAATCAGCGATAAGTTTATCACTTTTTTCGCGAATTATTTTTGGAGAATCCAAAAGCCTCACGCTTGCATATTTAATTGGATCCAACCCCGTTTTGCAATAAATGGCGCAAACAAACATGATGGTTTTACTTTGGGTGCTTTGGCAAAAAATGACGTGATCGCATGATGTGGAATAATCGTACTTTGGACTTAAATCGGGTCCCCATATCAACCAGGTTTGATGGGAGGAAATGGTTCGAAAAAAACTGATTAAAATTAAACGTGTAAAAAACGACATGAAGAAATTACGGTAATGGAATTTAAGATTATCTTTCTAATTATTGTTTGTATCAAAATATTTTTCAAATAAAACTTGTTAAGAATTAGGAAAGGAACAACTTCAGTTGGCACAATTTCTTAAAATTATCAACTTATTAATTTCCCTCTGAATAGTACGGTAATGGAATTTAAAATTATCTTTCTAATTATTATTTGTATCAAAATATTTTTCAAATAAAACTTGTTAAGAATTAAAAAAGGAACAACTTTTGTTGCCACAATTTCTTAAAATTATCAACTTTTTAATTTCCCTCTGAACAGTACGGTAATAGAATTTAAATTATTGTTTGTATCAAAATATTTTTCAAATAAAACTTGTTAAAAATTAGGAAAGGATCAACTTTCGTTGGCACAATTTCTTAAAATTATCAACTTTTTAATTTCCCTCTGAATAGTACGGTAATGGAATTTAAGATTATCTTTCTAATTATTGTTTGTATCAAAATATTTTTCAAATAAAACTTGTTAAGAATTAGGAAAGGAACAACTTTCGTTGGCATCATTTTTTTAAATTATCATTTTTTTAATTTCCCTCTGAACAGTACGGTAATAGAATTTAAAATTATCTTTCTAATTATTGTTTATATCAAAATATTTTTCAAATAAAACTTGTTAAGAATTAGGAAAGGAACAACTTTTGTTGGCATAATTTCTTAAAATTATCAACTTTTTAATTTCCCTCTGAATAGTATGGTAATAGAATTTAAAATTATCTTTCTAATTATTGTTTGTATCAAAATATTTTTCAAATAAAACTTGTTAAGAATTAGAAAAAGAACAACTTTTGTTGGCACAATTTCTTAAAATTATTAACTTTTTAATTTCCCTCTGAATAGTACGGTAATGGAATTTAAAATTATCTTTCTAATTATTGTTTGTATCAAAATATTTTTCAAATAAAACTTGTTAAGAATTAGAAAAAGAACAACTTTTGTTGACATAATTTCTTAAAATTATCAACTTTTTAATTTCCCTCTGAATAGTACGGTAATGGAATTTAAAATTATCTTTCTAATTATTGTTTGTATCAAAATATTTTTCAAATAAAACTTGTTAAGAATTAGGAAATTAGCACAATTTCTTAAAATTATCAACTTTTTAATTTCCCTCTGAACAGTACGGTAATAGAATTTAAAATTATCTTTCTAATTATTGTTTATATCAAAATATTTTTCAAATAAAACTTGTTAAGAATTAGGAAAGGAACAACTTTTGTTGGCACAATTTCTTAAAATTATCAACTTTTTAATTTCCCTCTGAATAGTACGGTAATAGAATTTAAAATTATCTTTCTAATTATTGTTTGTATCAAAATATTTTTCAAATAAAACTTGTTAAAAATTAGGAAAGGATCAACTTTCGTTGGCACAATTTCTTAAAATTATCAACTTTTTAATTTCCCTCTGAATAGTACGGTAATGGAATTTAAGATTATCTTTCTAATTATTGTTTGTATCAAAATATTTTTCAAATAAAACTTGTTAAGAATTAGGAAAGGAACAACTTTTGTTGGCATAATTTTTGAAAATTATCAACTTTTTAATTTCCCTCTGAATAGTACGGTAATGGAATTTAAGAACTGAAACGTTATTTGTTTACTATGTAAAACAACAATTCCTCAACAATATTATTATCTGCTAAACATATTTTAGTCTCATTATATCCAAGGTTTTCTTGTTTACTTGGTATTAATTCAAAAATAACTAGCTAAATAAATAAAATTACAACAATAACCCATAAAACTCCCACCACATCTACAACAAGCATCTCCGTCGTTTTTATACGCATCAATTCGATAAAATTAACACAATAATTCGTTAAAAATGTTAAAATTCTTTCTTATCTCAACATTTCTTTCTTTCTCACAATTTGAAATTAATTCTCAAACTAACTCGTATCAATTATCGGCATGCCAAAGTCAATTATACTGCGAAGGACCATTTCTGGAAACGGTACAATTAAGCGGAATGTTTCCCAAATCGAAAACGTTCGTGGATATGACAACGAGAGAAACCAACGATGAAGTCACCGTTAAATGGCAGAAATTATTTAAGGGGTTAGACGATAATAAATCACCCCCTACCGGAGCAGTCAAAGGGTTCGTGTTATCGAATTTCGCCCAAGAAAATCAAGGTGTAACTAATTGGCAGCCGGAAGATTTTAAAAACGACCCGTGGTTCATCGATTACATTCAAGATGCAGAAATGAAGCAATTTACGAGACACTTAATCGGGTTGTATCATAGTTTGGGGAGAAAAATAAACGATCAAAACATTGAAAAGCATTCATCGTTGTTGTACGTTCCAAATGGATACTTTGTCACTTCCGGGGATGTCAACGAGTTGGAGTATTGGAGCTCTTATTGGGTTATCCAAGGATTACTTTTGTGCGAAATGGATAAAACAGTGAAAGGAATCATCGACAATTTTATCCACCTCATCAAACAATTCGGTTTCGTACCTGGAAAGAATCGTTTATATCACGCGAGTAGATCACAACCCCCTTTATTAACATTCATGGTTTGGGACTATCTGCTTAAAACGAGGGATTTTAATTGGTTGAGGACAATCGTAAAGTATTTAGACCTCGAACTTCAATGGTGGGTCGAAAATAAACTCACCAAGGTGAATATTGACGGGTTGAGGTAATAAATTTAATTTA